GCAGGAGCAGGGGGCGGAGCAGGGGCAAGGGCAGGGGAGCAGGGGGGGGGGGGCGGGGCGGGGCGGGGCGGGGCGGGGCGGAGAGGGGCGTCACGCGGGACGGAAGGAGCGCGAGGGCGTGGCAGCGGCCTGGTCTTGGAGACGATTTGTTGAGGACGTTGCCTGGCCACTTGGAGGGTCTGATGATGACCAGTGTGTATTCCTTGTTTCCGTAGCGTCAATGTTCGGCCGGAGTCTTTCTAGATTACGGGACATCCCCTGTAGAAACGAGGCATCCGAAATCGTTTGGATCTTAGGAATGGGGTGGGGTGAGGGATCCTAAGAAGCACAACCCCCCGTCCAAAGCCAACTCCAACCCGCAACTTACATTTTTATTTCACGATAACATTTTAAAATCATTTTTTATTGTTCAAATATCTTTATGGAATTGGAGTCTGAATTTTAAACCTGACGCCGTGAAAAACGTTAACGGTCTGGCCCTGGTTTGCAGTATGCGGAAGGAAGAAATGCGCTCGGTGCGGTCGGTCTTGAGTTATATGAAAAAAAATTACAAAAAAAGAACAGCTAGAGTAAAACACTATGGCAGCCAAATCAATGATACAAGATCATAATCATCAAATACATGATCAAGACAAAACTGCTCTCTTGCAAAATGACAATATTTTAGAAATGTCACCTTCATTCCGCATAAACATTTTTTTCGATCACATTCATACTTGGAATTTGAATTTCAACGAAAATGAACATATAAAAATCTTGGAGAAAAATACTTTTGAGAACTATCTTTTTGTCGATGAAATAGTGTTTGTAAATTATTTCTTGATCATTTTAATACCGATGAAACGACGACTGGTAATACATTTCTGATTCTAATTGAGGAAAGATACAAGTCTCGTAGTATCGTGATTCTTAATAATGCATTTATGCACAAACTTTTGCAACGTAGTCAGAGCAGCGTAGTCTACGCGTCATGCGCAACCTTTAAAGCAGATGATTTCGACAGATTTTAAATCCGTGCGTTACAGCCAGAGCTGCTCGGGAACCTACGTGTCGGGAACTGCACATAAACACATGCAAAACATTATCAAAATATGTACGAGTGTAATAGATTTCTAGTAAAATTAAATTAAATTAAATATTCAGTAACCTTACGGTTACGGTAGCCGTGTGTCAAGATTCGTATAGAAGTCCACTTATCCCTGCCAGCAGACTTATCTTTTCTCTACACTTAAGAAATACTGATTAAAATATTAATCAGTATTATTAATTAATTACATAATAAAATATTAATATTCATAATATAAAAAAATACATCCTGGGGTCTTAATATCCTGTTTTGGCCCCAAGGGAAGCCTGAGTAATGTGACTAATAATTGTCATTTACACAATGAGACATCTTCCAACTTTCAGAGGTTCAGCGCTTCAGGGTATCTCCTTCGTAGTACGGTAGTCGGAAACGTGTACACTCTCACAATACGTGTACAATTAAATTGTGTTTGCTCTTCTGTAGCGAGTATTAATTTACTTTTGGTATTTGCGAAAGCATCCTTGTTTGTTTCAAATGTTTACGAGTATTAGCATATTTACTCACCAGACCTATATCATATTACACATAGTTCAGTGCATTGTTGTTCGAAGTTGAGTACCAGTATGAAATTATTTTCACTTTCAAATCAATGATATACGAAGTGTGGAATATTCGCATGAGTCACGTTGTATTTCAATACTAGTTAATTAAATGTTTATCTCGTGTAGATTTAAAAATAATTCGAATTATGATTGGAGAAAGTTGATTTTAACAGCTACAAATGTATTGTTAATATCTGAAACCTATTCAATAAGAGCGAAAGAAAAACTATTCGCTTAGGGAATCCCATCTTCGCACGAATAAAACGCATCTATTACCAGTGGTATTGGTTACAGCGTTCGGGCGTACAATACACTAGGATCTACAATACACTACAATACACTAAAACATGAAGAAACGCGCTTTGGATTAATCAGATCTAGCGAAGATTCAATCATCTAACTTTGGCACCTTGATTCTGTGGTTTCATCGATTTCCCAACATTACAGCTGGGGCACCATCAGCGTGGTGACCCCGTCGGGGCTCGAACTGTCAGAAGAGCGATAACTTAGTGAAAGGGTTCCCGTCCTTGAGTTCACCGAAAGGCCAGTGCGCCTTGATGCCCGTGCTCCCACACGCCCCCGCGCTCCCGGTCGCCCCGC